AAAAAAAAAAAAAAAAAAAAAAAAAAAAAAAAAAAAAAAGAACGAAAAGACTGTGTCAAAGCGAGGTTTGTTGCAAAATCAGCATTAGTCACGTTGTAGTAAATAAATAAAGATAAAAAATAACGGTTGCAAGAACGATGGACATGGCATAACTTGCTCCAATAAAAATCTATCGATCCTCCTTTTTCGAAAGATTACACGTTTTCATAAAATCTTTATGTCTTGCAACAATTATTATGTTCAACATTTTTACGCGTTACCGTGTACATTAATCTTTTTTTTCTTTTTCTTTTTTTTTTTTTTTTTTTTTTTTTTTTTTTTTTTTTTTTTTTTTTTTTTTTTTTTTTTTACGAACAATCTCGTGATTTCGTTTCCTAGGACGTGACGCGATCATGAATTTATACAATCGTTCTCGAGAATTCGACATCTTCTACAGTTAAAAAGCGATTTTTTTTTTTTGTCAAGTATATCTATTGAATAATGTAAAGAATACGATGACGTATAACCTTCCGATAAGAGGCGATAAACTGACGTGTCTGGTTAAATTTCAAGGCTTTGGTCGGAACACGTATAACTCTCGGAGAAAAATTCGCTCGACATTCCCCGATTTATCACTTTGCCAGTACCTGCCCATATTGGATATCCACAAATCAAAGAAGTGGTACGCGCTGCAATTTCGATTTTTTCCAAAGCTGTTGAATTTTTGTGAACGTTCAAACTTTTAATTCAACGTCTCTTCCAATTCCTCAAGCCTTTTTTTTTTTTCTTTAACGTTAAAATATTTTTCAGATTCTTCGAACATTCACTTATATTTCTTTGACTTCCAAATTCAAAGAAAATTCTAGATAATCGCAGAAAAATTTCCAACGATCTCTTTCTCGCCACGATTTCAACCTCGTGTCCGTTGCTCCACATTATTAAAATTAGACCACCACCATCCAAGCACCCCCCCATAAAAAACCCAACGGTCAGTTATCCAACGATCATTCGTCCAAAATATCAAACCGACCCACCATCGTCCAGTCTCAAAGTGGGGACGAATGTCCGTTGCTCCAGTTAACGAAATGGCTCTAGTTTTAAATGAAGAAAAAAAAAAAAAGAGAGAGAGAGAGAGAAGAAAAATGAAAGACAAACCGTCAACCCTTCTTTATACTGGAATCTTTGAAAGATATATTTTATAAGATATATTTGAATTAATGATCATATCAGATTTGTTTATTATTTTTTATTTTTTTTATTTTTCAATGATATAGTGGCTTGAGATCAAAATGCTTGAGATATCAGATATTTTGTCATTTAAAATGGAAGACAGAGGTAAAATCATTGGAATATTCTTTTTATAATAGATGTTAATTAACTCAACAAAGCTACATTGATTAGGAGGAACATTATATAAATAGTTGTTATCTAAAATTATTAACTTGGGACTATATTTACACTTAAATTTGTTTTGTTTCTTTTTTTTTTCTTGTATTTAGCGCATTATTCTTTTTTTTATTTTTATCTAGATATATATATATATATTCATTTCAAATATAAAAATAACGTTCTAATGATTTACATCTTCATTATAATGCTGAAGTGTTTGAAAAAATTTAAATATAAAAAAAAAAAAATCTATAAAACACGCGAATGAATATGCGAAAAGATAGAAGAATGCAAATGATTCGTACAAAATATCCATAAACAAATTACATAATGTAATGTTTAAAAAAAAAATGAAACAGATCTTCGTTTCAATCTTATTTCCATAATTTTCATAAAAATAACATCTACATTTGCATAAATGGTCTACCAATACAACTCCAACTCCATCCTTTTTACTCTATCGTTCGAGAAAAGGATATCCACTTTTCCCAAGTAAACCATCCCCCGATTTTCGTTCGATTACGAAGTAATTCTCTTAATTTAATAAAAAAAAAAAAAAGAAAAATAAAAAAAATGTAAGATTTTAATTTTAACACAGGAAGACAAATGTAACGACGCCTTGCATCCCTTAACGGTTCACCGTATTGCCTCTTTCCCATCGTGGATGGCCACACGTGAGCTGGACACGAACCGTGTCTAACGGATTTCTTTTCGACCTGATTTAAATAGGTTCCTCGTCGTATCGCGTAAAACTAACAGTTACGGACCAACACACACAGGGTGTCCAGGTAAAATTCGATGACCGATTCTTCTTTTGGAGGAAGGAGAAGGCCCAGAATGCTGCCTTCTCCAGGTAGCCAGTGATCCCGTCCACGGAGGTTTCATGGGAATTTAGGCCGACTGACCATCCGAAATTAGAATATCGGCGACCCTTCGGCCCTTGATATCGTGCTCTCGGGGATGGACGTCCCTTTCTCTCGTCCTCTTTTTCCTCCTGATCCATCCACACTGTATTCTGGAGGATGAAGGTAGCTCGTGGAAGAGGTGGATGTGACCACGGTCCAGGGGATGTATGGGAAAGTGGGGTGGTTTATCGGTGGCAGAAGTGTGAGAAAAAGGGTGGTTAGGTGGTCTTCTTGGTGGTAGCTTTGATAAGAATTGGAGAGGTGAAAATGGAGATATTGAATTTTGATGGGATCGTAGAAAATTTTAAGAATTAAAATTATCCTTAATGTTTATCCTTAATGAATTATATGTTTTCAGGAATATAGAAGAAAGCTAAAATATACTTATAAAGATATATTTTCTTCTTGATGGAAAGAGTATATCGTCCAACAGATAGTATAAAAGGAGAAATGAATTAAATTTTTTAGTGGAATTATATTTTAATTAAAGTATTCTGTAATTCTAAAATTAATGATTAACTATCCTTAATGTTTCTGCAGGAATATAGAAGGAAAATAAATATAATTAACAAGTGTACAGCTTGAATTTTTTTCTTGAAAAGAGTATATGGTCCAAGAGATAATATAAAAGAAGGAATGAATTAAATTTTTTAGTGGAATTATATTTTAATTAAAGTATTCTGTGATTCTAAAATTAATGATTAACTATCCTTAATGTTTCTGCAGGAATATAGAAGGAAAATAAATATAATTAACAAGTGTACAGTTTGAATTTTTTTCTTGAATGAAAAGAGTATATGGTCCAAGAGATAATATAAAAGGAGGAATGAATTAAATTTTTTAAAGGAATTGTATTTTAATTAAAGTATTCTGTGATTCTAAAATTAATGATTAACTATCCTTAATGTTTCTGCAGGAATATAGAAGGAAAATAAATATAATTAACAAGTGTACAGTTTGAATTTTTTTCTTGAATGAAAAGAGTATATGGTCCAAGAGATAATATAAAAGGAGGAATGAATTAAATTTTTTAAAGGAATTGTATTTTAATTAAAGTATTCTGTGATTCTAAAATTAATGAATAACTATCCTTAATGCTTCTGCAGGAATATAGAAGAAAAATAAATATAATTAACAAATGTACAGCTTGAATTTTTTTCTTGAAAAGAATATATGGTCCAAGAGATAATATAAAAGGAGGAATGAATTAAATTTTTTAAAGGAATTGTATTTTAATTAAAGTATTCTATGATTCTAAAATTAATGAATAACTATCCTTAATGCTTCTGCAGGAATATAAAAGGAAGCTAAATATAGTTAACAAATGTACAGCTTGAATTTTCTTCTTGAATGAAAAGAGTGTGTGATCCAACATATAATATAAAAGAATTAAATGAGTGAAAACAAAAATTAAAATATGTGTATTCTTTCTGAAATGGGGAAATATCTCGAAGAGGAAATATTCAGGCCACGTTAACAGGTCCTATCACGCTGAAGTATACCAACGAGTCGGTCGGTTTTGAGCTTCCAGAACAACTGATACATCGCGATTAACATAAATTTACAGAGGAAACGTCCGGCCTATATTATTCTGGGACCGACTATCAGCGTGGTAACTGTCTGCTTTGCATACAGGTTAATCCTTAAACGTTATTTATTATCTATAGATTTTATAATGCTCGTTGAACGATCGAGACAAATCTCTATCCGAATATTCTTTCCATATAACGAATATTACATAATAACCATTTTATATTTCCTACGTATTATTGTGATGTATGTATGTTTGTTCTGCCAGACGATAAAATTAATTTTTTTAGATCGATATCTAAATTCAATCGTTCATTACCATTCTTTCGACTTTTTGCGAAATATTTTTAATTTAAAAAATAATCTGAGATTTTAT